CTTAGACAAAATGCAGCAGTAAAGTGAGGACCTGACCCTTGCATGGTGCCGTGGGACTGATGCCTGGCGTAACGGGTAGGTCGACTTACGGTTTGTGAGTCACTTGGACACCATCCACAGCGATAGATTGAAGAAAGAAGGTGGTAGGCCGGAAAAGCCTGTGGCTGGATTCCTGACACAGCTCAGCTTAGAAAACCTCATGGAGTAATCAGGTAAAATGGCGTCTGGATGACCCGGAAGTGGAAATCATTCTGATGCTGACCTCAAGCGATATGAGTCAGGTAAGGGGTGTCCCTTATATAGGGGAGTGAATTAATTTAAGCCCCTCCCACAAATACAGGCAAAACTGCCTTAATACATATATATATATATATATATATATATATATATATATATATATATATATATCTACAGATATATACATATATATATATCTACATACATAAATATATACGTATATATTTTGTTCTACGTGTATTTTGATATAAATATATATTAATATAAAAATACAGTTCGAACTAAATAACACACATCTATATATTTAATAATGTTTTTTAAATTATTTTTTAAATTTTATTTAACGTATTTACATATTTAATTTTTTTATATTATATATATATATATATATATATTATCAAATTACACGTAGACTGATACTGATTTAATATATATATATATATATATATATATCTCAATAATTATATATTTATAGTAAAATACACCTAGACAGTGTATGTGTGTGTGTATGTATATGTGTATACATAGATCTAAATATATATATATATATATATATATATTTTTTTTTTATTTTTTTTATTATTTTTTTTTACACTTAATTTTATTTTTATTTTCAGCCAGCAGGGGGACCACCTGTCATTACAGGCAGCCCCCCTGCTGGCAATGCAGCAGGCAGCCTACCCGGCCATGTGATTGTGGGGTCCTCGCAAGGACCTCACTCTCACATGGCCAGGGGGCTTCCAGGGGGTCGGACGTGCCGCGGGGGGCTCCCTGGGAGTCCCCCGAATCGCGATCTCCGGCGTGGGATCGCCGGCGACCGGGTAAGTACAGAAAGACTGGAGGGCGTACAATTACGCCCTGCGGCGTTTAGAGTCGCCTAAAATAGGGCGTAATTGTACGCCCTCCGGTCTTAAGGGGTTAATGCAATTTTCTGTTGCCTTCAGCAGTGCAACTTTTAAATAATCCCATTTCTCTTGGACTCCATTTAAATTGCTCCAGTCTGATAATGACTCCTTTACACGTATTCTAATTTTAGAAAGTCTGTTTTTTTAAAGTCTAAAACGTTTGTTTTTGTGTGGTGTGACTCAGTCACTGCTCTTATATTAAACCACACTGACTGATGATCACTGGATCCTAAACTTTTACCTACATTAATATCTGATAGAAAATCTCCATTTGTTAACACTAACTCTAGTATGGCCTCTTTACGAGTTGGATCCTCGACGACTTGTTTTAGAGACAATCCCAGTAGGGAGTTTAGAATATGTGTGCTCCTAGCACAAGCAGCTATTTTTGTTTTCCAATTCACATCAGGAAGATTAAAGTCACCCATGATGATAGCTAAAATGACAATGAAGGGGGAAGTTATTTCCTCAACTAGTAGATTATCTAACTCTTCAATTTGTCCTGGGGGCCTATAAATCATACCTACAGGAGTTACTGTGTGATTACCAAACTCTAACGTAACCCAAACAGACTCTATGTTCGCCTCACTAACTTTTATTAGGCTTGATTTTATTATATCCTTAACATACAGGGCCACCCCTCCCCCTTTGTTGACTTCCCTGTGTTATTAATATATAAATAAGAGTACCCTGGTATTGCTATATCTTAGTCATTTTTCTCATTATACCATGTCTCAGTAACAGCGACCTACACTATCAGTTGCCATTATTGCCACAAGTTCATGGATCTTATTCCCTAAACTGCAAGCATTTGTAGACATGACTCTAAGCTTATCATTTTTTAACACACTTGCTACAGACACCTTCTGTCCTTGTTTTGGGGGACAATTGGATTGATGTTTTATCACCCTCTTGCCCCCCCACCTAGTTTAAATACATCCTAGCAAAACCTCTGAACTGCTCACTGAGAACATTTGTTCCTTTTTGAGAAAGATGCAAACCATCTTTTTTGTACAGCTTATCTCCATTCCAAACAGAGCTACCGTGAGAAATAAAGCCAAATCTTTGCTCCCGACACCATTCACTAAGCCACAAATTAAAGTCCCTAATACGCATCCGCCTGTCGTTCTGAGTGTTATGCACAGGCAGAACTTCAGAGAATGACAGTGTGGAAGCAACCTGCCGTATATCATTGGCAAAAACACTAAAAACTTCCTTAACCTCTGAAACCTCATTGTAAGCCAAGTCATTTGTCCCTAGATGGACAAGTACATCCAATTCCTGCTTTGCTCGCTTAGCAATATTACAGATACGTCTCCTGTCTCTGTGAGCAGTAGCTCCGGGAAGACATCTCACAAGACCACCATTGTCCATCTCCACACCTCTTATGATGGAATCCCCCAACAACAACTGCTTTCTATTAGGCCTCACCATAGTCTCCAAGCCGGTCTCCACAACACCACTACCATCAGTGCCTGAGCCTGTCTCCACAACATCACTACCCTCAGTGCCTGTCTCCATAACACCACTATGCTCAGTACCTGAGCCTGTCTCCATAATACCATTACACACTGAAAGTGCAGATAATGAATTATGTAGAGTAACAGACTGTGCAATATGCCTTCTGTCCACAACTCTAGGTGTACCAGATCCTACAGTAATCCATCTGCCATTCCTAGGACGTCTCTGCGGCAGTGGCTTTGCAGCAGATCCAGCCTGAGTTTGTTTACCAGATAATTTACAAATCTCAGACTTCAAAAATACAATCTCCTGCCGCAAGATAGAGAACTGTCTACAGATTAGACAACAACAAAATCTCCAAAAAGTGGAACGTGAACCAAATGCATAGCAACTATTACACTGAACTAAGTCTGCCATTTCAATGAGGTGAATAATTTAAATCAAACAAATCTTAATTTTTAGTCCTCCTGAATACCACAGATTACCTCCAGAATATCTCCAACCTCACACTTAGAAGCAGCACTGAGATGAAGCAACCAAGCTAATATAGTAGTAGACAGCTCCCTAATACCGTGGGAATTAGGGAGTTATCTACCAAAAGGCTGAAAGACCTAAATTAGTATTAGTAAATTTGACTGAAAGACCAAGTAAAAATGACTTAGTATTAGTAAATCAAATACGATTGAATTAAGAGGTGAATAAAAAATACGCCTCACTTATATATATTTGTCTTAACATAGTAACTGTGACTTTTCCAGAAAAGAAAGGCATTAAAGGGACACGCCAAACAAAACAAAAACTGACTTTTTAACCCCCCTACCAACTCCTCTACATTTTATTGTCTACTCACAACTAAATGCCTCTAGATCCCCTCATTTAAATTTATTACTGCTTTATTTCTTCTTCAGATCTGTGCCCTAGGTGCTACCATATTAGTGCTCAGGATGACGTGTACTGCAGGACTTTCATCTGCACACACTAGCTCGGTCTGTGAAGTTTGTGCGCATGCCCAGTTGTAGTTTTAGGCATTTTTGCTAAGAAAAATTAACAAATAGAAACAACAAATCAACGAATACCGAATTGCAATTCGGTCTTTGTTTTTTCGTTTAGGTTATCACAAGGAGGCAGCTACCAGCTCGAGACTGTCTCCTTGTAATATGTAAAAATAGAAGCGGCAGGGAGCTCCCCACCACTTCCTATACCCCCCAATGCCTCTAATCGCTCTATGGTGGTCAATATAACCCTTATTTTAGCATAAGGGAGGTTCAAATATCCCTCCAGCTATGCCGCGAGTAAGGGCATGTCTACTATACAGAAGTGAGCAGACAGTGGATGTTGTGAAAAAAACACATCCCCCCACTCCAATTAAGGGAGACCTAGCACATATCCCCATGCCCCTATGATGGGGTACCTATTAAAATAATTAACAGGGAGGGACATAGTGTCCCCTTCCTGCCCCCACGAGTGGAGGCTATTAAACTAAATGTGGGACCTTGTGTCTCCCCCAGCCCCACCCATTGAGGGTGGGCCCCCTCAGTGATAATGGGGGGGCCTATTCTCCCTCCCTGGCCCCCACCCATTAGTGATAAGTGGCAGTTGTGGGCCCTAAGTGATAATGAGGGGGGACATAGTGTACTGCCCCCACCAATTAGCAGCAGGTGGGGGCCCTAGTGATATTGAGGGGAATCTATTGTTTTCCCCACCCAGTGGCTGGTAAGTGATAAGCCAACCAATTAACTCCCGCCTCAGGATTATACTAATTGTACACATACCACAAACTGAATTTGCAAACTCCCCCAACGGTAACATTGCCTCCGGGGGTCTGATGGCCAATTTGGGCAGGTAAAGGTGAGTTTACTTACCTGAACTTCTCTCTCGCGATATAAATATAAAAGTCTTCAATATGTTTATAAAGACATTATACATAAATACAGAATGACAAATATATATATTGATAAAGTCCAAACAGCATATAAAAATATCAGTATATATAATGTAGACACATATTGTATACGAAGTACATTTTGGGCTAAAATACATTGAAAGGTATGCAGATAAAAGACAAGGAGAAAGAAAAGAAAGGGGAAAATGTAAAAAGCAAAAGTTAATTATTAAAAGATAGGGAAAAACATATTTTTTAGAAATTCATATTGGCTTAAAAATTCATTAAAAATGGCACAGTTCCAAATCAGAATTGAGTCCAAAAGGAACCATAGAATTAAATTAAAAATTTGAGATCAAGCAGAACTGTCTAAAACTTTATTTTACATGGGACTAGCCCATATGGTCATTACATTAACATTGCTGTGAAAACTCAATAAAATTACAAACAGTCAAATCATAGCAGGCAACATACAGTGACTTATTATAACATAATTACATATTTATAAATCGGTGGGGAAGACCATGATTAACACAAAATGTCTCTCCTGCATGCAGAATTAGCAATATGCAAATCTACTCGAATATGCAAATTACCAGTCTTGCTATTCAGGTAGTGCATATTACTGTTGCTACCAACAGATGGCGCTACACAAGCTCCATAGCCAAATCCACCTAGTTGGTAGCAATTCTCAGCAGTACAGGAGAGCAGGCAATACATCCCAGGGGCCATAGTCACATGGCAGGAGGCTGGCAATTAGTCTTCTCCAATGCCCAGTGGCGAGGCTGGTTCTGCCACACATGGGAACTCTAATTTTCCTGCCCATTCCTAATATTACGTATTTGTTCTTCCCACCTAATGTGGGCAGGTCTGTTTTTTTTCTACCTATGCAATATAAACTGCATTTACAAATGAGCAGGTATATGACATTTGTAGAATAGCATGCTCCTAGACCTCAGATTGGGAATTGTTTCTTCCCATCTGGGGTCCAGAATTGACTAATATGCTTTTTTTGCTTGCAGTCCTGCAGGCAAGGCAGATGCCACATTTATTTATTTTTGAGAACTATATCAGAATGGTATATGATTCATTACTTATTTAGGCATATACCTTTATCATCATGTAGTATTTCTCTTTTCTATTATATTCATAGTGCTTAAAAACATATATGAGAAATAGAATAAAGAGATAACAGTACAAAAACCAAACTCTTAGTAATTCAGTAATATATATATATATGGTAGGGGCCTTTTGACTAGGGTGTTATCGCTTGTCTTTTAATTTCCATCTCTTATTTTTACTTATCTTTTGTCGTTTTTCTTTCCCACATTTCAATCTTCTCCCTCTTCTTCATTTTCCTTGTTTTATTCCTTTTCTTTTTTTCCCTCCTTTCTCTTGCTTGCTTACCTTTCTCTCTTCCCTTCTCCTTTCTTCCCCTCTTCCTCTCTCTCCCTTTCCTTCCTTATTTTTATTCATTTTATATTCGCTTTCTTTATTCTTATTCAACCCCCAATCACTTAAGAGCATATTAATAATTTTATACCTGATAAACATTAACTACCGACAACCAACAACAAAACAAACAAACAAACATTAATTATTGTTTTCTTGGCGGTCCTGCCGACTAATGAATCATGAAAAAAACCTAGGAGGCAAAGACATGAGTACAGGAGCCATTTTGTATGTACGAGCCTCTTCCCCACCTTTTATTTTCCTTTGTGTTTCTTCTTTACCTATACCTGATATTTTTACCTTTCATTTTTTTCCCTTTCTCTTCTTTCTCCGATTCCTTCCCCTTTTCCTTATGCTTTAACTATGTGTGTTATTTCTTGGGTTCATTTTCTATCTAGATTGATCCTCCCCCAAAATAGCTAGCCAGTCATTCCAGAATTAAAATTTCGATCTATTCCATTTAGACTGACTTAAGATACCCCTTTCCATAGCACATTGTGTATGGATCTGCGTTTTTATCTCTGGCCATGTTGGGATTTTAATAAATAGCCAATTTCTGGCTAATAATAATTTGGTTGCTGTCCATATATGAGAAATTATTTTCCATTCCATGTTTTTTTGCTTAGGAAAGATTAGATGTAAAAGAGCTTATTCTGGGTTTAACTGAACCATTCTTTCATCCGTTGGGATATATCATTCCATAATGTTGTTAATTTTGGGCATGTCCACCAAATATAGACAAAATCCCCATTTGGCACACCGCATCTCCAGCAATTTGGTAAAGCATTGGGATATATTTTACTAAGGGTTGCTGGGGCTCTATACCACCAGTTAATTTATTTTGGACCTCATTGAGATTCAAGCAATGTACTGATTTACAGAGATTCTCTAAAGACTCATTCCACTTATTTATATCGATTTTAATTCCTTTTCCCATTTTTTAATAGCTAATGGAAATATTTCATTTTTAGGTTGTCTAATCAGTTCTTGACATTTGGCGGTCAAGTGACTATAATTATCTTGTTTTAAGATCTTATTAAATATCTCAGAGGCCTTATTTTCTGTTGTCAGAATTAAATTAGATTTTATATAACCTTTAGCTCTTAGGTACTTAAATAGGTCCACATTTGGAATATCGTATTTGTGACAGACCCATCCGTATGGACTAAGATTGCTGGATTCGTCTGTTTGCTTGTTTCACGAACTCACCCATTCATATGCCTGGATTTAAGTGAATTGACTTTTACCGAACAAAACTGTCGAATGGACGGCCACCCAGAAGAGAAGTGTGCTGCTGGTTAACCTATTGATCCCAATTAGAACGTTGCGGTTAACCACAGACACTTCTCAATTAAAACCGAATACAGGGTGGTCGTCGTTCGTATGTCGACCACGAGGCGGCGGCCATTTTAAACCATGCGAAAGACCAGCGGTGTTCGGTACTAAATTCATGGAACTGAAAACGGACACTTTTTCAACCGAACACCACTGATGCCGTCGACCTCCCTTCTCCAATCGACAGAAGTGTGCGAACACCGGCCGTTCGGGAGATTTAAAGGCACGAATGGACTTACCCCAGATAGCCTTCCCATGGAGTCAATCGCATACCGAAGAACTGTAATAGACTTTGACTCCATGGCGATTGAACTATGCGTATGGGATCTGAGCGCTATTCGCCAATAATATGCACTCAGATCCAGGCTATCTAGGGATGTGTTACACGAATGAGAAATGTTTGGCAGTTATAAAGTTATGTATTTTTATGTGTTTTATGATTTGCATTTAAAATGGCGATTTGCCTCTGCTCTGGGAGATAATTGAATTACTTCTCAATTATCTCCCGGGCAGAGGGGAGGAAACTGTGATGTATGCTGGGAATATTGTGTGACTGTATGTAAAGGATCACCTGGCACCCCGACTGGGTACCTCCGTTAAAGAATGCTCCTAGCGCTTACTGAGGACTCCAAGCACTGCAGCAGACACCACAACCACCGAACCGGAGAAGCATATGAATCCTCTCAAGCATATGAATGCTGTAGACAGTTGAATAGGAACCATACGAATAGGTTTACTCTCCTAGCAGTCAAACACACTTCACTTTGAGGGTTAAGCAGGAACTCTTGTGCTGGCACACCCAGCCTGGTTTTTATTACAGCCTTTCACATACAGGACCGCCCACAGGGAGGTATAAAACAACCAATCACATATCAGTTACATCCCACATATTCCCTCCCCTTATCCTGAGAGGAAACTCAATTACACATACAGTTAAAACATACTTTCTACCCAACTTTCATAACTTTAAAACCATACATCACATTCACATAAAATTACATATTCACAATCAATCCATTCAGGGGAACAACATATTAAAAAAATGGCATGAATCCGACCAGGGGTTCAAAAGTTAGTAAAAGTATCTTTTGGGCCCTGGCTGGCACATGGCTATCTGGCTCAAACAGGTTTTACAGAGCCCTCTATTCTGGAGACAATTGGGAAAGTAATCCAATTATCCAGGGATAGAGGCAGACTCCATTGAGCACATGGTTGCAAAAAGACATAAAACACTTTAAAATACATAAAGTCACCTTTTACACATAACACACAGACATTTCACATATCCCAGATAGCTGGGATCTGAGCGCACAAAACTACCGAATAGCGCTCAGATCCTATTCACACAGTTCAATTGCCATGGAGCCGAAGTCTTTAACTACACGAATGGGCTCCATGGCATAGCTATCTGGGTTAACACATTCACATAAAGTCTGGTCCATAGTCCAAAGGCAAGAGGCAGGCGCAGCCCCCTCCAAGGACACGTGGCGAGGCCGGTTTCGCCACACTGTATGTCCTGAAATGCCATATGTCCATCTGCTATTCCAGTCTCCCATTTGGTCCCCTAGGGGAGTGTCCACCAAGTGGGAGACCTGCATAAATACGGGTGGGTAGCCCACAGTAAACTCAGTTTGTGTTTTACCCTCAATGCAGAGCTTGGTCTCGTTATTGGGGGGGATTTTATTACCGGCGACTAGAGACTGCTATATGTTATTATTAGCCGCTTGGGAGATACCGGCGTTCGGCTGATATTGACGGTTCGTGAGCTTGAAGCTCGTGGAGGGAAGTGACTGTATGGATACCGTTCGGGAGTTTGGAGTGTTCCCTTACTGGAGGTTCGCATGATTGTATTGGATACGCATACAACCTACATTATTGCGAACGGGGAGCATTCACTAAACGGCGGTTTGTACATTTCATGCTGAAGGTACCGTAACAGTATTCATTTTGAAGTTCTTGAAAAGTCCTAATATTAACTCCTGTCATTAAATCTTGAATACATCTGATTCCTTTTACATGCCAAGAGTCTATATTGATATCCTCCATTAAGCCATTTAATATGCTGAGGGGAAGAAACGGTAACATTTTATTTTTCAAACCATTTTTATCTTGGAATCCTTTCCAATTTAGCAAGATATGATCTAAAGGGGAGTCATTATCATTTAGGAGCATATGGGATTGTTGTATTTTAGAGGACCAAAATAGTAACATGTCCCGGGTCTTTGTCTCAATTTGTTCTAGGATGTACCAGTCATTTATTGCTCTATTTTGTGTTGCTATTGCATGTGCCAAGAGAGCTGCCTTTGCATATTCCTGGATAATTGGGATCCCAAATCCTCCTTTATTTTTTTGTAGGCCCAGTCTTGGTCTTTTATCTAACCAAATGTATTTTGTAAAGGCAGATTGAATCATTTTGATCCAAGGGAGCGGTATTAATTGAGGAATCATTCGAAATATGTAGGTGAACTTAGGCAGTATATATGCTTTAATGGAGTTTATTCTACCCCACCATGAAACTTCAGGAGGTTTCCATGCTTTAAGTAGTCTATTGGTCTCTTATTGAGGGAGTAAATGTATAGCTAGCCATTCAGCAGGATGTACTGATATGTTGATTCCCAAATAAACAAAACTTGTGATTTCCCATTTAAAATCATATTTATCCTTAATTTTATTTATCCGTAATTCTGACACATTTAAAGGAATAGCAGTAGTTTTTGAAACATTTAGTTTATAGTTTGATAGAGTACTATATTCTTTTATGCAGCTCCTAATAGTATCTGTCGAGATACAGGGGTCTTGTATTCTGAGTAATATGTCGTCGGCATATAGTTTTATTTTTCGTGATTTTATATTAGCAAATCCTGTGATGTTAATGTCTCTAATATAATGTCTCGCAAGAGACATTAGAGAACACAATATGTTCTCCGGCGAAAGAACATAGAGAAGTGGGAACAGCGGCCACCCTTGACGAGTGCCGTTTGTTAGTGAAAACCATGTCGATTTTATTCCAGATC